GTTTCTCTCTTTCCCTTCCTCTCTCTCTCTCTCTAAAATCAACTTTTAAAAATCAGGAGGGATATATCTACTGCAGAGGTCCCCCCCTGAGAATGAAGGGTCCCAGACCCACACCAGGCCCCCTGCCCTGAGTTCCAGTGCCAGGAAGAGAAGTCCCCATCACTTCTGACTGTGAAAACCAGCAGGGATTGTACCTGAGTGAGACAGAGAGTTGTTGGACTCCCAGGCATTCTTCTCAAAGGGCCCGTGCACGGGCATACTCAGACTCACTAGCTCTCAGCTCAAGCACTGGGGCAGCAGCTCAAAAAATGCCAGGGAGCCCTGGCCGGTTTGGCTCAGTGGTTAGAGCGTCGGCCTGCGGTACAGAGAGACCCGGGTTCAGTTCCCGCTAAGGGCATATACCTCGGTTGCAGTTTGTCCCCAGCCCTGGTTGGTCGTGCAGGTGGCGGCCACTCAATGTGTCCCTTCACATCGATGTTTCTCTCTCTCTCTCTCTCCCTCCCGCTCTATCTGAACAAAAAATGGAAAAATGTCCTCGGGTGAGGATAAAAAAAAAAATGCCAGGGACATACAGGGAGAAACTGAATTGTCTGGTGCAGCAAGAGCTGGAGTGGCAGCTTTCTCCCAGACATAAGTACTGGCAGAAATTGAGTCCTCAACCTTCAGGCACAGGTAGGTGACAGATAAGGGGTCTCAGGGAATCACCAGGCTCACACTGCTCACCCTACCCTGATGATTCCAAGACTCTGTTGACACAACTTGCAAGCCCATCCAAGCCATTTCTGGTGCCTTTTCCATACAAACAGACTGCCTTGGCTTATGCTGTGGACTTTCGTATAATCTCCCAAAGGTACACAGACCCCAAACAAGCAGCATCTGGCCTCAGCATGCCCCTTACCTCTTGCTAAGTGGCCCAAGGCCCAGCACTAGGTGGGGCAAGCCTCTGTTCACAGCTTGGCCTCTCCTGGTCACCTCCAAGCACAGCACAAGTAGCAGCCACATGCAGATTGCTCTGTAGCTCATGCCAGGTAGCCCCCATGCAGGGCACAGCCAGTGGGTGATCTAAGCCTGCTTCTTCTGGGAGACCCCAGAGCCAGCCACCCAGAGCCAGCCACCCAGTGCACAGGTACAGTCCAGGCCTGAGGACCACTCAACCACCTCCACAAGCGACACACTCAAGGGACGGACTCATCAGGCTGACCAGAGTCCTGCTGAAGTGAGTCCTACTGTGTGGGGTCAACCCCTGTACAGCAGTTCCTCTGCTGTAGTTTCTGCCAGTCCTCGCAGCCAAACTGCCTGGGAGTAAATACCTCCCACTGATGTGCCAATAGCAATCAAGGTTCAACTACAACAGGAAGGTACACACAGCCCGCATGTGGGATGCACCTGAATTGCCTCGCTTAGGTAACTGGGAAGGCTGTGGCACTGGGCCCTACAGGACACCTACTACATAAGGCCACTCTACCAAACACAGTAGATGTAGCAGCTCTGCCTAATACAAAAACAAACACAGAGAGGCAGCCAAAATGAGGAGACAAAGAAACATGTCACAAATGAAAGAACAGAACAAAACTCCAGAAAAAGATCTAAATAAAATGAAGAGAAGCAATCTATTAGATGCAGAGTTCAAAACACTGGTTATAAGGATGCTCAATGAACTTAGGGGAAATGTAGATGAACTTAGTGAGAACTTCAACAAAGAGATGGGAAACATAAAAATGGAGTCATAAAATATAAAAAAGAACCAGTCAGAAACAAAGAACACAATCACTGAAATGAAGAATATATTATAGGGAATCAACAGTAGAGTAGATGAAGCAGAGGATCAAATCAGCGATTTGGAAGCAGAAAACACCCAATCACAACAGCAAAAAGAAAAAAGAATTTAAAAAAATGAGGACAGTTAAAGGAGCTTCTGGGACAACTTCAAGTGTGCCAATATTCACATCATGCAAATGCTGCATGCAAGGAGAGAAGGCATGGAATTGAAAACCTATTTTAAAAAATAATGGCAGAAAACTTCTATAAGTTGGTGAAGGAAATAGACATAGGTCCTGGAAGCATAGAGAGTCACAAACAAAATGAGCCCAAAGGGGCCCCATACCAAGCACATAATTGAAAATGCCAAAGATTAAAGACAAAGAGAGAATCTTAAAAGCAGCAAGAGACAGCAGTTAGTTACCTACAAGGGAGCTCTCAGACTGTCAGCTGATTTCTCAATATACACTTTGCAGGCCAGAAGGGACTATCATAAAATAGTCAAAGTGGTAAAAGCAAGAATCTACAATCAAGATTACTCTACCCAGCAAAGCTATCATTTACAATCAAAGAACAAATAGTTTCCTAGACAAGAAAAAGATAAAGGAGTTCATCGCCACCAAACCAATAACAAAAGAAATGGTAAAGGGTCTTCTTTAAAGAGAAAGAAAAAAAAGATAAAAAATTAAATAATAAAATGGCAATAAATACATATCTACCAACTTACTTTAAGTGAAAATGAATTAAATGCTCCAATACAATACAGTGGCTGAATGGATAAGAAAACAAGACCCTTACATATGCTGTCTCTAAGAGACTCTCACTTCAGATTGAAAGGTACACACAGACTGAAAGTAAAGGGATGGAAAAAGATATTTCATAAAAATGGAAATGAAAAAAAAAAGCTTAGGTAGCAATACTTATACCAGAAAAAATAGACTTTAAAACAAAGGCTATAGCGAGAGACAATGAAAAACCCAGCAATTCAGTTTCTGGGTATTTATCTGAAGAAACCCAAAACACTAAATCAAAAAGATATATGTAGCCATATATTCACTGCCGTATTACTTATAATAGCCAAAATATGAAAGCAATCTACATGTCCATCAATAGATGAATATATAAAGTAGTGCATCTATACAGGGAAATATATCTCAACCAAAAAAAATATTAAATCTTGCCATCTGCAACAACATGGATGCACATAGAGAGTACTGTGCTGAGTGAAATAAGTCAGATAGAGAAAGACAAATTTCATGTGATTTCACGTATATGTGGAATCTATAAAACAAAATAAACAAACAAGCTGACCAGAAACAGATTCACAGATATAGAGAACATTTTGATGGTTGCCAAGTAGAAGGGGGGTTGAGATGGGTAGAAAAAGGTGAAGGAATTAAGAAGTACAAACTGTTAATTACAAAATAGTCAAAGGGATATAAGTACAGCATAGAATATATAGTCAATAATTATGTATGGTGCCAGGTGGGTACCAGAATCATCAAGGGAATCACTTCATAAATTATATATTTGTCTAACCACTGTGCTGTACTAATACAAAATAATATTGAAACTAATATTAAATAATATTGAATGTCAAAAAGAGAATGTTTACAAAAAAAGCCAATGATATGTTTAATTTACTCAGTTGAATTTTGTTCGTTAACAATTTAAAAAAACACCTCAAACTAACACAAAATAATGAAACTAACTGAAAATATATTTTTTTAATAAATAAATAAATGATTGGCCCTGGTCAGTTTGGCTCAGTGGTTGGAGTGTCAGCCTATGGATCAAAGAGTCACAGATTCAATTCCAGCCAAGGGCACATACCTTGGTTGTGGTTCATCCCCAGCCCCGGTCAGGGTTGTGCAGGAGGTAACCAGTTGATATATCTCTCTCACGATGATCTCTCTCTCTCTCTCTCCCTCTCCCTCCCACTCTATCTGAAGATAAATAGAAAAATACCCTTGGGTGAGGATTAAAAAATAAATAAATAAATGAAAGTAAAATTTTATTCATTTTTCTATATCACACTACTTCAACTCTGAATGATTTAAATTTGTATTAAAAGAAAAAAGGAGACCACCCTTGAACTTAATCCTAAAGGATACACAGGAGTGAGCCCAGCAAAGAAGGACCTTTTAGGCAGACTAAAGAGAATCAGGGGGGAAAAAAACACCTGCTGCTGTGTCTGGGGGCCTTCAAAAGGTTGCCAAAGAGGACTGAAGTAAGATGGGAGACAAGGGATGGATTGGGAGGCAAAAAGGCCAGGTCAGGAAGGGCCTTGAAAGCCTTGCTTGGGAGTTTGATCTGTTCTAAAGGGCAATGGAATCAGAATTACATTGCAAAGAGAGCATTCTAGGTAGGTGATGTGGAGACACAAGGGGCAAAAGATCACAGACCAAAAGACTAATTAGCAGATACCACAGTAGGAGCAAAAGCTGAAGCTCTGAACAAAGACTGAGGTAATAGGCAGAAGAAGGTATCCAAGACATACAGAATCTTGGAGTAGAGAAAAACACGATCAATCATGATCAAAATAAATAGATACAGGTAGGAAACCATTTTTATTAGATACTAAAAATGAAACATTGAGTTGTACACTTGAAACCTGTACGGTTTTGTGAACCAGTGTCACCCCTATAAATTCATTTTTTAAAAATGCAATATTCAAAAAACTTGAAAGCATACACATTTGAAAGATTATAAGAGGTTATTTTTTCACTTTGCTTGAATTAAGATCATTCAAAGATCTAATCTCTTTTGAAAGAAAATCAAATTGCACTACTCTTTTAATGAGAGAACATTCACAGACCTTCACAAATCTCCAAATTGACAGCATATAATTCTATCCATGGTATGTTGTTTTGCCCTGAATAAAGCACTCAATGAAACAAATTCAAGAAGAGTCTTCTTTACTTACAAGGATTTTAGATAGGAGATTTGTCACAACCAAATCTGCCATCCTCTTCTTCATTTCCCTCAAGCTTCTATTTTATGGCTGAAAACTACATTTTTCAGATCTCTTCAATTTTGGTACAAGTACAATGAGCTGACTATCTTTTCTGTGCCACTTTTCATTCACACACACACACACACATTCACTTCCAGAGAGCTCGTAGGTTAAGTGATGAGTAGAAATCACAAAGCCTCTGTAAGATGCCATCTTGTGATTCCCACCATCCTAAAAACAGAGGATGTAAATGCTCACTTAAGCACAATTAGGAAGTATGCCAGACCTGCAATCATGTCAGCAATGGCCACTCCTCCAAGTTCACTCAGTGAATGCCCAAGGTGCAGGCTTCAAGCCAGACTCTCTTCTCATCCAACCTGTCCAGTGTCATAAGCACATCAAACACTAGGTGTCACTCTGTACAGCCACCATGCTACACATCCAAACAAAATAAGCTATAGAAAATTTATAACACAGCAAACATCTGTACATTTCCCTTCTAAATTTATATATATATGTATGTATATATATATGTGTAAAATAAATCAACTCAACCAAATTGTGTTAATACATTAACTCCAATCATTTTAAAGGAAAATATTCTTTACATACCTTCTGCCATTCTAACAAGAAACACAACATACTCAAGTTTTATTATGAATTTTCCATATAATTTAGCCCTGATGCAGTTTCCACCATCTGCCCTTAAAGGGATCCTGGAAGCATTTGCTAGTGCTGCCTTCCAAAGTACCTGCTCCGAAGAGTGTCAGTTACCAGTGAGTCAGGTGAAAGGGGCCAGCATGCCAGGAATCTCAGGGCACCTGGGCTTTAATAGATAATCAAAAGAATGTAATTTCAGACTTTCACAAACATCTTATCTCCAGTTTCCCTTCCCTGAAGGTAGATTGAGTAATCAAGTGTATCTGTTGGTTGAATCCCAAATTTCACACCAAAGTCTTGAGGCATTAGAAAAACTGCAGTCTTGAACATTAAATTTAGAAGTTAAAACATCCATTGAAAATGGCCCCTTTCACCCTGGCCAATTTCGCTCAGGGGTTAGGGCATCGGCCCATGGACCAATCGCGGGTTTGATTCTGGTCAAAGGCACGTACCTCAGTTGTGATTCATCCCCGGCGCTGGTTGGAGTCATGCGGGAGGCAGCCACTCGTTGTGTCCCTTTCACGCTGATATTTCTCTCTCTCCCTCTCTCCCTCCCTCCCACTCTATTTGAACAAAAATGGAAAAATGTCCACAGGTGAGGATAAAAGAAGAAAAAGAAAATGGCTCCTTTAAACTCAGATACTTGTAATTTAATTAAAATTAACATGCTGTTATAAAATAATCAAATTTTAACCACAAACAATGCATTCAAAGAATCTCCAGAAAGGAGTAGATGTTTATATTTTGTTGCTATCTTCCAGTTTGCAGAGATCACAAACATTGAATGATCAAAAGCAGAGACCAGAATAACCGTGTACTATAGAAATAAAAGACCTGGGCCCTGTGTTTTATTATTTCCCCAGTATGAGAAATGATTACTGAGCTAATTCACCTCCACAGGCAATACATGAAAGCAGTGAAAAAGAGCATAACAGGCCACCCAGCCCTCTATTTCCTGCAGAGGGTTCTCAAGGAATATTGTGGAGCAGGCCACATTCTGCCACAACAATGCTATCACCTAGAGCTGTCCCCAACCAAAAGCTCAACAATAATAAAAACAAGTATGACTAAGGTTATCAAGAGAGCCAGAAGAATTATGTACTTCATTCGCATTTAAAATACATATAACACATTAAAATATGTCCCAATGTCATAAAAGTGACCCCAATATTCTGGTCACAATAACCAATGACATTGATTTTGCTTGTCAAGAACTCAGTACAGCTTTGGAAAGGGAAGATAGGTGAGACGGGTGTCTCTATCTTTTTTAAATGTTCAGGAAATTTGAACTGACACGCTGGCCTTTTCTCAGTTGCAATCTGTCATTTAGAATTATGGCAGTGACCCAGGAGCAGCATTCCAAACTGGAACCATTCTTTAAGAAAAAAAAATATCTGCCCTGGCCGGTTTGGCTCAGCAGTTGGAGCGTCAGCCCGCAGACCAAAGAGTAACGGATTCTATTCCAGTCAAGGGCACGTACCCCAGTTGCAGTTTGGTCCCGGTCCTAGTTGGGGTCGTGCAGGAGGCAACCAGTTGAGATGTCCTTCTCACATCGATGTTTCTCTCTCTTTCCCTCTCTCTCACTCTATCTGAAGATAAATAGAAAAATATCCTCAGGTGAGGTTTAAGAAAAATTTTAAAAAACAAGAAAAGCAGAGGCTGTAGAAATAGTTAATTGTAAAAATACAATTCTGCTGTCTTTCCATGTGCTATTTGCTCATAAGAAAAGGCATAGCCATTGTATAAACAAAGAAAAAGAACTGTGACTTAATCCTGTAGGACACCTGCCTTGAATGAGTTGACTTGTCTATGATTCAACCCATGCATTTGCACTGAAGAGATTTTAAATTGTTTTCATTTTCAAAGAGTTATAAAAGATACACAGTTCCACCAAAAGAAGGGAGAAGGTGCTTGGGTGGGGGTGGGGGAGGGGAGAGGGGAAATGGAAATAAACATCTCCAAATTGTTTGTAATCTTATTATATTAATAATTCTAGTTTTTTCTTCAGGCAATTCTTCATTATTAATATCTGAAGTAGAGTGATGCTATTAAATGTAAAAAGTCATAAACAAATGCATTTGTACAGGAAATAAAATCAATGTTCAAATTACTGGAGGGCATATACAAAGCAATTGTATAGAATGAAAATTAGCCATTTGTTTCACATTTTGCAACACTCTGGGCACTGCACTTGATCCAGTTGTGTTTATTATTATCAGGAAGCTATTGACAGTCCTTCCCCCATATTCTGAGGAAAAGAATCAGAAGTTAAACCAACTATCTATAAGCCCGCTTGGAACAATGAAGAACAAGAGACCCAGTGTTGAATTCCATTCATGTAAGACGGAAATTCTGTGCCAGCCCTGGATTCACTGCAGGTCAATTATGACTCCCAAATATAACTATACCAGCAAGACTCTGCACACAGGAGTCCTGCCTCCAATCCAGCATTACCTCCACACTGCAGGGAGGGAAGGAAGCCGATATGCAGGATGCCTACAGTAAATTTCAGACAACCAAACTTTCATCTTCAATAGTAAAGGAAAACTAAAACTAGTGGCCACAGTATTACGCCCCTTCCTCATCTACCCCTGAAGAAGCCACATGTCCTCTGCACTCTCCGGGTAGCTCACCTGGTGCAGTTTGCCTCTAAGTCCATACTTCTCCAGCTTGATCTCTCTCACCAAGAAAGGGGTGAGGGAAAAACAGAGTCCATCATCATGAAATGATACCAAAAGTATTTCTTTATATTGGGGGTGAGTGTGGAGGTGGAGGGAAGGTGGGAAGTGTGGTGGGGAGATGAAGTACTATGTAATCTGACTGTCGATTATTTAAATTATTATTTTCATCTTCAAACAAACATGAAAAGAGTAAAATAAAACTGTGTGGCTTTTCAGTTTTGTGTTTACAGAAGGCCACTTTAAAGTTATGTTTCCCCAACTTATGAAGGTAAATGCTTATTCCTCCTCATTCAAGGGCACTTTGGTAACAATGCCTGAGAAGTCCAAGGAAACCAATTCTGTAAATCATTAAACCTTGTCCCCTGTCCCAGAGGACACAGATGTGCAACATGCTGAAGATTAACCAGTGTTTAACAAAGAGAAGACTTTCAAATGAGATAATGAGGCTCTGTTGAAAGACTATAGAGCTTTTCTGCCTAATCAGTAGCCACTAGCAACACAAATTTTAATTTAGTTACTTAAAATAAACATTTAAGTCACTCAGTTACACTAGCCACATTTCAATCATTAAAGGGCCCATGTGGCTAGTGTAAGATATAACACTAATTGGATAGAGCAGATACAGAATATTCGAAGCATCACAGAAAGTTCTATTGAACAGAGCTGCTCTAGAGAAATAAACCACTGAGATGTTTAGATATGCAAAGGCTACTCAGAGTCAAGCATAAAACTAAATTTCATGCTAAAAATGACTTCCTTTTGTTTCGAAGATTCCAAACAAAACTACATTTGAAGTATCATAAGTTGGTAGAGCTGGAAGAGATCCCAGAACTCATCTAGCCCCATTCCCTCACTTGACTGATATGGAAGCCAAGGTAAAGAAAGATTAAATAAGTACCTTAATCAAGGCTAACCAGCTTGTTAGTGTCAAAGCCTGATCTAAACCTAGCCAGACTTCTGCTACCTTTTTTTCCCCTCTCTTTTATCCACAGTTTTAGGTGAAAAAATAAAATGTTTTTAACATAAAAATACCAAATAAGTACATGGAAGATAAGTTGAGAATTTAATAAACAATAAATATTAACAGGTGCAAATCACTGTGGGGGATACAAAATATAAGTTAATGGTTGCTAGTCTCAGGAACTGAATAGTCTCATTAGGAAGCTAAGACATAGCCACCTTAAGGGAAAACTAAGAACATCCAGCTGTAATCAAATGGTAAAAAGCAAGAGAATATCATATGTATTCCAGAAAAGAATGGGCAGTTCTAGCTGGAGTTCCCAGAAGAAATTAATTGGTCTGAACAGAGTCTGAAAGAATGGGCCAGCTGAGAAGGAGAGCAAAGGGTAATCCCTGAAAAAAGAATTGCATAAACCAGGAGGCAGAAGTGAAACTATGCAAAAAGAGGTAAAGGGGCAATAAGCAAAGCATTATGTGTGTCACAGAGCACTTCCACAGAGCAACACCAACCACAAAATGTGAAAAAGAGCTAAACAGGGACCTCAGAGGGGATTCTGAGTGTCAGACCAGACTAGGCCACACTCTACAGATTATAAAGAACAAGTTCAGATCCCTATGAAGGGGAAAAAACTAAAAACAGGTTATAGTTCATTTTAATTTGAAGGGGTTATTTGAATAAATTTAAAAATTAGGAACCTAGAAATCAAATGTCCTGTATATCTGTGATTTCTAACTCTGTGGTATTTGAAAAACAGATGAATGAGTAGCATTCTAAGGCCAGACATGTATTAAATTTTAAAATTAAAACTCTTCCATCAATGTATATTGTATTTTAATTGGGGTGTTGGAGGGTAAGAAAATGCCTTGCTATCACATTCTAGAAGCTTCCTTAATCATGAACTCCAAACTATTCCATTTCTCTACTAAAGGGGGATGGCATATACCATGGCAGTTTGAAATATTTCTATAATAACTATACTTTCTTATTTTCTGCATTCTTGATGCTCTGACATTCTGGGGCCTTGCTGACCTAGGAGACACTGCCCCTCCTTTGTTAGCTAATTCCTAGAAATAGTACCAGCCAGCATATTCCAACCAACCAATCCCAAATCTACACCCACAACCACCTCCTTTTACAGGCTTTCACACTCTAGGACACTATCCCCTGGCCCAAATCACCCACAGATCAAGTACTGGACAATTAGTCATCCCTACAACCAAGAGCCCATCAAAATTATTCAAACTATCCCATCCTAAACCTGCATATTAGCTTGCTTGCTTTACCTTGCCCATTCCTCCACAATAAAGGCTCTTACTCTCAAGTATCCCTCCCTCTCTCTGCCTATTCCTTTTACAGTGGTGGTTCTCTGTATAGCTCTAATAGGGTATGGCATGCCTCCTGTTACTAGAGACTGTGAGTATAATAAAAACGTCTTCCTTCATACCTACCGTTTTTCATGTCTGTGTATCTTGATTAAAACAAATACACATACCATTAAAATAACCTCTCGCCTGGCTGGTGTAG